GTTTTAAATCATTTGTAAACTGCCCAGAGTCATTGGGAGTTGGGTGGCATATAAATTTAAGAAATAATAATAATGCCACTTTACCAAATATATTTTGGGAGGAATTAGATCAAAGAAGTCCTGATTCCCCACTCCAAAGCTAATGAAAGAAGGTAGAGAGTTATGTTCTTAAGAGAATTCAAACTATCAAACCTTACCTTGAATGGGCTTAATATCTCAGGATGGCGCCAGCGATGAACTATAAGCCCGAGGGTGGCTAATCCTATGAAGAGCCACCGGGAAAAGCTGAAGAAGTTCAACAGGTGGTAAAGGTCTCCTACACAAATCATGGCTGTGACCAAAGGGAACTCAAGGAAGTAAAGTAAAAAGAGAGTAAACCAAACCATCAGATTTTTCATGGGAAGAAGGCAGAAATCCCAAACTAACTTTGGTTCATTGGCTTTGGACAGAGGATGTAAAGTATGCTTTTTTCAAAATCATTCCTAGGGTTTGCACTTGCATAGCCAACAGTTGCAAGAATGCAAGATTGTTGCTGCTTCATGAGAGGAATTTAAATTTCAGACATGTGTTTTAATTTTGAAATGACAATAGCTCACAAGTCAAAGTCCAAAACTGAAAGAAATTTCAAAGCACAATATTTTGAGCTAAATAAGAACAGATCCTCTGAAATATTTTATAAAACATCAATAGAAAACGTATTGCAAATGTGGGCTGTCAGGCAGTTAATGAGTTTTAGCTGATTAACCATTTGAATTTTAACATATGATCAATACACTTGCATATTAATTAGTTCCATCAGTCTTAGAAGGTAAAATCTTGTAAATGGATTGTTTCATTTTGGAGTAGCTCTTGGCATTTCATGAAAAAAGTATTGTTGAAAATTCACCCATAGACGGAACACATAGGTATATCTTCCCAAATCTGATGCCATCTGGATGTGTTGAATTACAAATCCTAAGATCTCCTGTTAGTAATGGCCCTTAAGCACATTGCCTGACTGGTGAATGGGAGTTGTAGTCCAACACATCTAAATGCCATCAGGTATGAATAGAAGACTAGCATAGTAATTGAAAATATGTTTGTAAATTACATATATATGCACAAAGATACACATGCAGACATGCCACCACACAATCTGGGCAATTTAACCTAATTATTATTATTATTTTTTATTTAAGAGACTTATAAAATAATAGTAATGGGAAAGGTAGAAGGAAAGAGAAGAGGATGACTGACTCAACAACAGCAGTGATGGATGGATGGATGGATGGATGGATGGATGGATGGATGGATGGATGGACGTACGTACGTACGTATGTATGTATGTATTTAAAGGGCTTGCAGCATTGGAAATGCTGAAGGGCCCAGGTTGCAGACAGATCACCCTGGAGAAGGTCTATCTATGTAGTTGCTAAGAGTCAACACTGACTTGATGGCACATAATCTTAAGCAATAATCAATAATAGGCAATAATGATGGTTTTAAAAGCAAACCAACAAACTTTAACAGTTATTGGTAGTATTGTGGTTGGGCTATCAATACCACAGGCTGTTTGCATTATTGTCAGATAAAGATGATGGTCACAGACTTGCCACATCAGAGCCACTGAAGTAAGAAATGGATCTGACACTACAGACAAAGGAGCATACCATCAGCATGACGGCTGGCAGCGGGGTGTGGCGTTGGATATGGATCATAGAGAAGAGGGTGGGCCATTGCCCCTCCCTGGAAGCCACAAACAATGTCCTAGAAGTAGATAATCAGCTGTGAAAGAGCTCAAGGATGTAGAAACCTCTTTGTTAGAAGCCTGCTGGATTGGAAACACATTTCATAGAAGTACTTTTATGCCACCCTTCAAATGATAGCTGACAATGAAATTACACAATAACATTTTTTAAATCAAAATGCAAAAACAAGGAAAGTCAGCAGATTACCTCGACCCTTCATTTCTTTTATTATCCAAATATGCTGTATTTCATCACTATTGATTTAATTATCTACATATAGAATGACCGATTCCTCTCTTATCTAAATCACTACTATTTTCCGAGACATTTGGTTACTTTAGAGGAGACCAAAAAGGCCATCATTAAGGGTAAGTGTTATATGCACAGTCAAAACAGCAGGAAAAATCTGGAGCCCCCCTCCCAAATGACTACCACTTTTCAGAATGTGCACTACAAAATCCTATTAAAAATCAAATAATTATCTCATCGTGCAAAAAAACCAAACCCCATTTCCCCAAAAAGAAATAGGAATTAAATTGCGATACCTAGTGATGGCTTCTTCTGCCTCAGAAATGTGATTATTGACATTTGTGAAAATTTGAGACTGGGAACACATGCTACACAGAGTTATCATGCTGTTGGTTGGGTTGGGGTTATCACCTGTGTGAGTCCAGCCACTGCTGTTTGCAAGCCTAAGTTTATATTTAGCATATTGTCTGAACTTGACAAACTGTGATTTATTTAACATACCATGTTAAGCAAGCCAAGTCTCAACACAATGTTCCATCCCTTCCTAAGTATTGAAAAGGAGTATCTATAAGAAAAACATAATTTTCTCCTCCTTTGCTTCAAAGCATTGAGAGGGGATCATTTGAAGCAGACAGGGACATCATTCTTCCTCCTCTACTCCTTTCCTCCTGGAATTCCCCCAACTCTCCTTTCTCCACAACTGAGTTCCACATGCATTCACATCTGTGTGGTGAAAATGAGGACCTGGAAATTAATCAGGAAGGGGAGGCAGCTAGCAGCAAAGGTTCAAAGGGGAAATGTAGGGGTACAGTTAAACTCCTTCTACTCCATCATTTCTATGTTCAAGGTAATTTCCTTTCAATGTGCCTCTGAAACAAACAAGTGTCCTTGTTGGATTCTGTTGCTCACTTTCACACACTTTGGATCTGAATTGAAGTTGGCATCATCCTTGAACTGGTAGAAACTGTACCAGCATCAAATGTGCTGTCTCAATTACCAGTCCCTATCCTGCCTTTATGGCTTTTGGGTCCTGATTAGTATCTGTCCCAAGCCGTAATGACGTCCCTGTGACATGTGTCATGACATCATGGGAGATAAAGGTAAACATTAGAAATTAGCAAGCTACCAACCTTGAGAATGTAAAAATTCCTCCATTCATGGTTCCAAAACAAGACAAGGAAACCAAGATTGGAATCACAGAGATAAGGCTCTGGAAAGCTTTCCGTGCAAAACTCTGGTGGGGGGAGAAAGGCATGGTTGTAATTCACATATGTGAGACACTGAATGAATCAACTCAGCTGTGAACAAAAATCACCAGGAGGCCTTCAGTGAGCTGTTGGGGCATCAGCTCTACAGAATTTCATTCTAGTTTTACACCTGCTTGTTCCTTATGGCGCTAACATTATTATTGCTTGCTTCATCAGTTTTTAAGAAAGCATTGGAAATACTCATCTTGAAATGTATATATATACATATACATACACACACACACACACACACATATATATATATATATATATGTATGCATATATGTATGTGTGTA